AATAACTTTCAGGAAAATGTGTACATGCGTACTCTATAATCAAATTAATAAAAGTAACCTTAAACAAGGTAGCGATTGTATTAAAAACAATATTGTATTGATTATCTTAAATATGTAACAACAATAATAAATTAACTAAGATTCGTGGGATAAAATATCAACAGGAGGCATGTTTATATCACAATTTAATTATATTATTGTAATATTTATATTATAACATTTTGAATGTTAAAAAGTAAACGCGCCATAGATATTTATCTATAGACCCGGTAAATATTTGAATGCAACAAAGGTTCTTTTATTATACGTTTCTTACTTAGGCCTATCTATCGACCAAAGTCAAATGGCTAGTTGTTTTCTATTTACGTGTGAATAAATGCTACAATCGATATATTTACACCGATGAAATCGAGAAATAAAATAACACAACAGTATTCATTAGGAGTCAAGAACGTTATAATTAGATTAGCATATTTACTTTTTAGGTGCTAGACCTTTAGCAATTAGCAACAAAGTATTTTCGCATCAGAAAACGTCGCGAATAACAAGGTTCAAGAACGTTATGAACAATTTCTTGACGTTGCCTAGCAAGCAATAAAAGTTGTCGGCAACAGAGGTAGGAAATAAAAACATCATTAGCAGTCTGTGAAAATCGTTGGTGCAGAACTGATGGGCCGACTGGCCGCGCAAACATGTCGTCTGCATGTGACGTCACCAGCTACACAACCAATACACGCGGGCGATCAGGAAGGCCAAATAACAGACGCCGAGTAGTATAAATGCAGGAAGACATCCGAGTAAAGGTACACTGCATCCAGGAGAGCAATAAAGTACACATCGTATCTTGTATACTCTAGAGCTTATACCGAAATCGTTTATCGGCATTCTGATAGAGATTGATTCTCACAACAACACAGTCATGAAGTACATCGAAGAATTCCAGGTGAGACTCGAGGGAGAAACCTTTCTGCCGGGTGATGTTCTCCGTGGCAGCGTCTCCTTCATACTGCGTCAACCGATCAACGCGAAATCACTGGCTATCAACTTCGAGGGAGAAGGACTCGCGGTTGCTACTCAGCTGAAGAATAAGAACTGCAGCCGCCAGTTCATGTATCTAGACGAAAAGGTAGCGGTGTTTAACAAGTCACAACCAGAGGCGATGGAGGCTTTCCAAACTCCCGGCAAACACACGTTCTTCTTCTGCCATCGTCTACCGAGGAACCTTCCGGGAAGCTTCAGTTACTCTGCAGCCGACCACGACGCGAGCATTTCCTACTCCGTCTACGCTGTGTTGAAGACACCGAAGAGGTTCGGCTGCAAGCAGACGATCACCAGGGCAGAGGTAACAATACTGAAGACACAGAGCGATTACGACGAGGATTTCGACTGTGAAGATATTACCTCTGATGGGCATGGCGGCTGCACATACACGTACATTCCTCTACACGAGCTTGAGCGTAACAACGGACACAGGAAGCTAGAAAGAGTGGCCGCGCAGCTACCGTCCAGCGATAACGCAGCCAGATTGATGAGATCTTCATCGCAGACCAGCAGCGACAGCTTGAGCGATAGTGATACCGAATCTACCGGGTCTAGCGACAGCGAGCTGAGTAGTTCCGACGATTCCGACAGCGACGTCGTGTCGCTTGGTTCGCAGGGTAGCGATGAGACGTACGATGTCACTATATCAGTGTCCGACAACTCCGAGAACGAGACGGGCGATATCACCTATAGGGTCAAGCAAATGAACTTCTCCGCTGATATAGGCCTACTCCAAAACAATTCACTGTTGAAAACTATTATTGTCATCTGAATATTTCGCAGCATTACAATGGTTTAGTCGTTTGAAAGTATCACGTATTGCCATAATCAACGAGCTTATAACGTTACCGTCCGATAATATTGATATTCGGTAATAACACGCTAGTAAGAATACTTGGTGCCATTCATATACGAAATCTAGTCGTGTAGGTAGAGTGTAAAGGTGTAAGCGCCTAATGGTAGGGGCACAGGAGCGTATTTTATCGCCCGATCGCGGCGAATTTTAAAATCGCTCGAAAAATTCGCCCGTGTGCCCGTTCACGTCGACGCCGATTTTAATCGCCCGTACGAATCGCTCGTATCAAAAATGTTAGATATTTTCGGCCGATTATTTACGCCGGCGATTATTTACTGGCAAATTCGCTCGTGTGCCCGTGTCCGGCGTATTTTGTCGAGCGATTTTTTTTTTTTTAAACCAATCGGACGTGTTGTTGATATCAATTACGGATAATAAATATTAAAGATATTAATCGTCGCGACCGGGCGAAAAAATACGCTCGTGTGCCCCCAGCTTCACAGGCACATGGAAAGCTTGCATATGATTTATAATTATGTCTAAACCAATCGTATGTTGCATATTATATTTATATATATATATCGTATTCCGATGTGTAAATAGCGTGATCTGTGATGTAGCCGTGTATAAAATAAAGCATGAGTGACTTAATCTATGTATCAAGTGTTTGATTATAACAACATACGATCGCGACAACTTATTACTTTTAAAGCATAGGGTATACTATATAGGCCCATAGATTACACGTCTATCTCGTGTTTTGATTGCAGCAAAAGTTTTACCTGATTCAAGATTAAATTGATTAAGCGTAAGGATTCTCTTCTTGCTGCCTCTCTGAGAATTATCGTTTCAGCAAAAGCCATAAATTTAGGAGCATGTGTTAAAAGCATTTAATTACGCATTAAATTGGGAAAATTTAGATCTCGCTACAATTAACTGTCTATGTATTATAGGTACCTTACTTACCGTACTAATGCGCAAAACCAATTCTCACGTTAATAGCAGATATCTGTGTGTTATATTAATTACAACCTATATGTTTAAGGCGCGAAACCAGATCATATTGATCTATGTATCAAGTATTTGATTATAACGACATACGATCGCGACAACTTATTTCTTTCAAAAAATAGAAAATACTTACTATTCACATCGATTACAAATCTATCCCGCGTTATGATTGCAGCAAAGGTTTTATCAATTCTCTACTTGTTGCTTCTCTGAGAGTTATCGTTTGACCAAAAACCACACATTTAGCAGCAAGAATTTATATAGTCTTTGTTAAATAGACATATTCCACACTTTCAATTGGTATGTGCAGATCACGCTGCAATAGACGTGTCTATTACGGATATGTACTATACCTATCGAATTGCCGTACTAATGCGCAAAACCAAGTTTCACGCTAATAGCAAATATCTGTATGTTATATTAACTACAAGCTATATGTTTAAGGCGCGAAACCAGATCATATTGCACCAATGATGTCGCACCTACATGGCCACGCATGAACGAACCGCATTCGCTAGTAGCCTGAAGGCAGAAACATCCTTGATGTCTAGCGAATAGTAGAATATCCAGACAGGTGATTGGATTAGAATGCCAGAACGTGCTCGAGTCAAAATATGAAAATCAGATTTCAAGCGTTTTGTGATGTCGAAGCCAGTCATCTGTACAAAAAAGGTTCGAAAGAAAAGAATGAATTGATTTGCCAATATACTTAAGATTGATTTCATTTTTTCACTAAGATGTTACGACCTCCGTAGTCACCAGTTAGACCGTAGTCGTTCCCACAGATGTAGTGCTATCTATGTTGTATGTGTCATAGGATAGTTCCCACAGACAGAATAATAGTGTAGGGCTAACGGCATCGCGATCGATATATGTTTACGATGTTTACGAACTTTAATGTATTCACGCACGTTCCTTTAAGACTTAGGCATTTGGCGAAGTGAACAAGTCGTTCGGTTTTTGACCTCGCGCGTTGTACACTTCCTCTTTTGTAAATTAACTTGAGTGATCACCCGCAGCGGTTGAGCTGCATGGTTTACTATTCCAACTTTCAGTTACCAACACGATTCGACCTTGCACTGGTTGTCGTACTACGTGAGACTGTAGTGTAGAGACCGTTTTGTAGAGCAGCACGTGTAACCGCCTCTGGCCAAAGGGTAGAAAGATCCTTGATGCATCAAAGATGACAGTTTGGTAGTCGGCACGCATCCGCAAGTATAAGCAGCAGAGGAAACATGGCGCGAATAAAATGTCCACAAAATAGCGATATAAACCAGCACCGCGCATATACACGCCAATCATATCGGTTACCAGTAAAAAACGTTCAAGGATCTCGAATAAACAGATCTGATCAAGAAATAGATCAGTGAGCCGCAGCCAAACTTATACGATGTTAGGCAAAATGTCCATAAAATGACCAGACTGAAGACAGTTCGAACAAAGTTACTCACTCAGCGTGCCGAGTAAGCCTTGTTTTTTTAAATATCTCATATTATATCTATTTTTATATTGCATTCCTCGAGTATTTCCGCCCACAACAGCAGCGTCGGATGCACGCAAAGAACTGCGAGATTACACGGTGAGTCGTTTAGCGTCAAGGCCCGATACCTACTGACTATAATCACGCCGTGACTAACCACGCATGACACTCGCTAAAGGTTCTCCGCTATAGATACGGCTATACTATTGCACGGCTTTGCTCATCGGGTCAGTCGGTGCAAGGTCAGGTATCGACTCGACGACGTCGTAAAGAAACGGAAAGCGGAAAGTTCGCGACACGGGGCCGTCTCGTTGATTGTGTGGAGCAAGGACGCGCGTCCGCCGCTGAGCGCGTTTTCCATAATGCCGCATGAAGGAATTTAAAAAATCGAGAAATCTATGGATATTTGTCGTCCGCGCCTGACGGCAGCGAGGTCGTTAGGTAACACACTGTGTTTTCCCTCATGGATGCGAAAGCGCGTACTCCTGATGAAGCGTATACGTTAGCGTATCTACTGCCATCCCTATGCATCATCTAACTAAATGTTCATTAATCAGAAAAACACTTATTGACAATAATATAAATATGTATTGTAGGTAAAAAAAAACTGCTATTAGATGCACGTTAGCAATCGAAAAGGATCCTGGTCGTGCGGTCTCAGTAATGGTGGAAACGTAATCGGAAAATTAATAGTATCTTTGCATTAGTGACATTTTGTGGCGTTTCGTTAGTGTAAATTGAGTGTGCTCAACGCAGGGATTAATTCACCGGTGGTTTAATATATATACAAAAATACACAATATAATTTACACATTAAGGAGAACTCCGACACTTGCTAGATATAAATTAAACAGCAATATATACCTCATAATAAAAAATGTGTTAGTTGTAAAAACCATTATACATCTGAACAGTTTAATTACTTGCATCGTTGTTTGCTTACAGTAAATAACCCCATTACCTCATTAATAGACGATTCAGTACAAGTTATCCATATAATATTTAAACTTTGTCTCGTAGCAAAATTCACATGATTATCACAGTCTTAATAACGGAAGTTTTCCTGACTCTATCAGATGAGATATTCATATTCCCGACAGAAGAAGTAACATCGCTCGTCTCCTTCCCGGTGTCGGTCGCTCGCAGCACTTTCACTATGTATTCCTGTACGTCGTTGTCGTCCAGCCCGCTGTCGTCGACCGACGTGTGTCGGCTGCTGTCGAAGGCGTCGCTTTCACTGCTCTGCGACGACAGGCGACTGTGGTCGCTAGACTCGCTACCCATCGAACCCAGCGACATGTGGGAATCGTAAGATTCATTCAGCACGTTGTCGGTGGAGACGGCAGATCCAGTAACACTATCACTCGAGCTTTCGGTGCTGGACTGCGATGAAGATCGAATGAATCTGGCCGCGCTAAGGCTGGATGGTAGCTGCGTAGCCACTCTCTCTGGCTTCTTGTGTCCGCTGTTACGCTCAAGCTCGTTTAGAGGAACGTACGTGTATGTGCAATCGCCATCAGCGCAAATCTCTTCAAAGTCGAAATCCTCATCGTAGTCGCTCTGTGTCTTCGGTATCGTTACCTCTGCTCTGGCGACCATTTGCTTGCAGCCAAACCTCTTCGGTGCCTTTATCACAGCGTAGATGCAGTAGGCAATGCTCGCGTCGTGGTCGGCTGCAGAGTAACTGAAGCTTCCCGGCAGGTTTTTCGGTAGACGATGGAAGAAGAAGAACGTGTGCTTACCGGGAGTTTGAAAAGCTTTCATCACCTCTGGTTGTGACTTGTTAAACGCCGCTACCTTTTCCTCTAGGTGCATGAATTGACGACTGCAGTTCTTATTCTTCAGCTGAGTAGCAACAGCGAGCCCTTCTCCCTCGAAGTTGATAGCCAGTGATTTCGCTTTGATCGGTTGACGCAGTATGAATGAGACGCTGCCACGGAGAACATCACCCGGCAGAAAGGTTTCTCCCTCGAGTCTCACCTGGAATTCTTCGATGTACTTCATGACTGTGCCACAATCACTAGTTGGACGCCGAGAGACGATTTCAGTATACGCCCTAGAGTATACAAGATTCTTGGTGGAATATACCTTTCCTCAAATGTCTTCCTGCATTTATACTACCTGGTGACTGTTGTTTGACCTTCGGGGTCGACAGCGAGTATTGGCTGAACAGCTAGTGACGTCACAAACAGAAAAATGCTTGCGCTGCCAGTCAGTCGTTCGCCCAGTTCTGCATCAACGACTTTCAACGTCTGCTAATGATGTTTTATATTTGCGACCTTGCTTGCTAACCACATTCACCTCGATACAAAAGCATGCAACGTTGTGGTAATCCAAGCTAGACTTGTTTGATATAGTTGTGGAAAATTGCTTATGATCTGTCTATTACTACATGTGTTTATAGCATGACAACTAACCTTTTCAACGAACGTCTGGTTATTTATCGCTGGTATCCTGATATTAATGAAGAACTGTGCGTAAGATTCTGTCTGGCAAATATATACATCATTTTTCTCCTGATATTCAACTTCCGTTTGATTGAACGAATAACTGCCTAGGTTCTAATTCTAATGGCCAAGCTAATTAAATGCCGATGCGCCATGTTGCTGAATATATAGGTTATTTCTATACAGTAGTAGAATGATAATAAATGTGAAATACTAAAAGATATTGGCAATGCTGCGTGGAAAGTTTTTAAAATTATAAAAAAATAACGTAGAACGTACAATAATTCTTAATAAAAGTCTTAATTAAGAGCGTATATGCTGTGGAAAGGCAACTGCGTGGAATAATCCGATCGCATTGTGAAATCGACCAACGTGACACATAAATAAATAAATAAATAAATAAATATATATATATATATATATATATATAGGTAAAGCGACAATTGTTTAACAAACCCAGGACAGGAGGTTAAACGCCCGAAACAATGAAGGCAAAATCATAGTTGAAAAACAGAGATTAACTCTTTCGTGGCCCTCTCTCTCTCTCTCTCTCGCGCGCCTTTCTCTATTATTGCGAGTCATGACAACAACGTCACAGTTGAAGGTAAACAAGAACTTCAATATTTTTGCGTACATGAAATTATCGTGGCGGAACATCAGTACATCTGAGTGATGAGCAGGTGACAAATAACGCTCTTCTTTCTTCTCTTTTCTCTCTCTCCTCTCTCTCTTTCTCTCTCTCTCTCTCTCTCTCGCTTCTCTCTGTCTCTCTCTCTCTCTCTCTCTTTCTCTCTCTCCTCTCTCATCTCGTCTCTCTCTCTCTCTTTCTCTTCTCTCTCTCTCTCTCTTCTGTCTCTCCTCTCTCTCTCTCTCTCTCTCTCTCTCTCTCTCTCTCTCTCTCTGTGCCTACGTGAGAATCGGTAGCTGGTTTGCTCTACACCAGCTAGAATAGGTTTGTTGTTCGGCACGCGTGTCATTCGGTGCAAGGTCGGGTCTCGACTTAACGACGTTGTATAGAAACATAGAAACAGAGAGTAAAAGCAGCAAAGCACGTAGGCATGGCGTGGGTGATCGCCCAAGGTGACTGATAGAGGTGGAAGTGTAACGCGTAAGGACACGTGCAAGCGTCGATGACTTGTTTTTATCAAGTGCCTAAGGAACACACGTGAACCAATAGACGTACGGAAACGTCACAAACATCGCATGGCTGTGAGGTCGTTAATCTACAATCCATAAACTTGCCAGTAGACCAGGTTTATAGGAGTTGTACACATGTGGATATCGTTGCTAGTCAGGATCAACGATGCTTCAAAGAAACAATAAGGTAAGCTTTTGGGATCCGTTTAAAACATTTAATTTCAATATTTTCTTTTCAAATGAACGGTTAAAAATTCAAAAACGTGACTTTTCTGGTTTTTTTTTATGCGGTGACCTAAGGATTTTGCAGATTTAACAAAGATTTACAATTATCCTATATATATATCTGCAATGATTTTCCAAGTGACTTATTCTAACTCCGATTCTCTTCTGATCTGCAGACCGCTTCATTAAATGTTTCTATAAAAAAGCTATAGAACTCGACATTCGTCATGTAATGAGAGCTTCGCTTTTAAATGCATGGCACGAAAAGCTTGTGTGAGGCGTCTTTATTCCCGGTGAGTAACAAGATCACAAGGACCTGTGCTCGTTCCTCATCACATGTCTGTCTTAACGCATCGCCGATAACAATCATCATTTTACCAGTATAGATAGCAATGGTGTGTCCAGTATGAGTTCGAAGATAGATCTACAAATATTTATCTAAATATATAGAGATATTTATATAAATATAGACAAATATGTGTGAAGATAGTCCTAGTGACCTGTGTCTTAATATGTGTCCTAAGATACTTAATTGTGAAAAGATACTTGTATAAACGTGGATGCAGTGACGTGTGTCTAATAATGAGTCTAACGACAAGTGTCTAAATACGTGCATACGGATGGTGCTGTGTGTAAATAGATGTGAATGAATGACGATATGCGTTTAAAGACGGGTCTAAAGATAAATGTCTAAACATGTGTTTCAAGACATTAGCTAAAGCTATATGTCTGAAGATGAGTCGCAGTATGTTATTACGTAAAGCACATCTGCAATGTTCATGTCTCGTGTTTACGGGCAATGATCATATATAGGCTGATATACGTATACATGGCTACGTTAGCGTGGCTTCGTTACCATTGAACACAATGTTACACATCGTTGATTTCAAATACCGTGTTATAGTTAATTGGATTACGGATGTATAATATCACATACTTATGTTGGTAAAAATGAGAATTAGACATTCTGATTTGATGTGTGAAATATCTCTGATATATGATGTATAAAAGAAACACCCGAGTAACACGGTCTATGTTAAAGATATACAGTAAATAGATTGGGAGATTTGCTCGTATTTCCGCAGTAAGTATCTAATTCTATAAGTTTTGGTACTGATGATTTACTACGGTGAATATCATTACAATAAAACGCTAGACACATTAAGTAAATTATTAATGGTTTAATTCATAATTATATTGATAAAATTATTTACATATCGGTGTAGGTTATATACAATATACGATTTGTTTCGATACAATTTCGTTTAAGACAGACGCCAGCAAATCGAAGGTGTAAACACCATTGCACTCTACCTACACGACTAGCTTTCGGATATGAATGGAATCAAGTATTCTTATTAGGGTCGTAAGAAGTCATACCGAATATCAATATTTGCAGACAGTAAGCTTTATGCATATTATGCACAAGCTCATTGATTATGGCAATACGAGATACTTTCGTACGACTATAATTATATATATATATATACAAATGTGATGCTGTGATATATTCAGATAACAATGATATATGACAGTTTTTGAACAGTGAATTGTTTTGGAGTATATCAGAGGACAAGTTCATTTGCTTGACCGTATAGGTGATATCGCTCGTCTCGTTCTCGGAGTTGCCCGACATTGACATGGTGTCGCTGCTAAAGGAATCGTATGAACTAGTCAGAGCGCTGTCAGTAGACCCGGTAGATTCGGTATCGCTGTCGCTCAAGCTCTCGCTGCTGGACTGCGATGAAGATCTCATCCATTTGGCTGCGCTAACGCTGGACGGTAGCTGCGTGGCCACTCTTTCTAGCTTCATGTGTCCGTTGTTACGCTCAAGCTTGTTTAGAGGAACGTACGTGTATGTACAATCGCCATGCCCATCAGAGAAAATTGCTTCAAAGTCGAAATCCTTATCGTAGTCGCTCTGTGTCTTCAGTATCGTAACCTCTGCCCTGGTGATCGTCTGCTTGCAGCCGAACCTCTTTGGTGTCTTCAACATGGCGTAGATAGAGTAGGAAATGCTCGCGTCGTGGTCGGCTTCAGAGTAACTGAAGCTTTGCGGAAGGTTCCTCGGTAGACGATGGCGGAAGAAGAACGTGTGCTTACCGGGAATTTGGAAAGCCTCCAGCACCTCTGGTTGTGACTTGTTAAACACCGCTACCTTTTCGTCTAGATACATGAACTGGCGGCTGTAGTTCTTATTCTTCAGCTGAGTAGCAACAGCGAGCCCTTCTCCCTCGAAGTTGATAGCCAGTGATTTCGCGTTGATCGGTTGACGCAGTATGAAGGAGACGCTGCCACGGAGAACATCACCCGGCAGAAAAGTTTTTCCCTCGAGTCTCACCTGGAATTCTTCGATGTACTTCATGACTGTGTTGTTGTAAGAATCAATCTCTAACTGAATGCCGATAAACGATTTCGGTATAAGCTGATTAAGCTCTAGATTATACAAGATACGATGTGTTCTCTATTGGTGTCGTGGATGCAATGTATCTTTGCTTGAATGTCTTCCTGCATTTATACTACTCGGCGTCTGTTTTTTAGCCTTCCTGGTCGCCCGCGTGTATTGGTTATGTAGCTGAGGACGTCACATGCAGACGACATGTTTGCGCGGCCAGTCGCAGTCGGCCCCAAAACTACATGCAGCGCCCCCTTCCCACACTCAGGATAATTGAGCCAGAGCGAGAGCGCCATCTGTCGTGGAGTTTGAGTCGGCCCATCAGTTCTGCACCAACGATTTTTCACAGACTGCTAATGATGTTTTTATGTCCTACCTTTGTTGTATCGCGGAAAACTTTATTGGTAAGCAACGTGCAAAATTTGGTTTTAACGTTCTTGAACCTTGTTATTTGCGACATTTTCTGTTGCAAAAATATTATGTTACTTCCTAAGCTCTAGCAGCTACGAAAATTTGCCCTCATGAAAACGTGCTTGAATTAACTTTGAAGATTACTGTTGTGTTGTTTGGTCTATCAACTAAATACTGGTGTAAATGTTATGCTTGTGGTAGATTGTAGTAGTTATTCAGACGTAAACAAAAACAACTAGTAATTTGATATCTATCGGCAGAAAAGTTATGGACATAAAACAGAGGAGCCATTCATACATGAAATTGCTATTCAAGGTCTATGGATAAGTATCAACCACCCGTTCATGTTTAAATATTTAACATTTCATATGAATCAATAA